TTCAATGAGACATCTTTTTGCTTCTTCCAAGTCCTTCTGATAGAGTCATAGAGATATACAACATGGGAATAGACCCTTCGGTCCACTCGTGCATGCTGACCAGATATCCTAAATAAATCTAGTCCTATTTGCCAGTATTTGGCCTATATCCCTGTAAACCCTTCCTATTCATATACCCATCCAGATGCCTTTTAAATGTTGTAATTGTACCAGCCACCACCACTTGCTCATTCCATACATGCACCACCCTCTGCGTGAAAAAGTTGCCCCTTTAGATCCCTTTGTAAATCTTTCCCCTCTCTGCTTAAACCCATGGACTCCCCCACCCTGGGGAAAAGACCTTGTCCATTTACCCTATCCATGCTCCTCAAGATTTTATAAACCTCTATAAGGTCACCACACAGCCTACAATGCTTCAGGGAAAATAGCCCTAGCCTATTCAGCCTCTCCCTATAGCTCAAACCCGCCAACCCTGGCAACATCCTTGTAAATCTTTTCTGAACTCTTTCAAGTTTCACAACATCCTTCCTAAAGCAGGGAGACCAGAATTGCTCACAGTATTCCAAAAGTGGCCTAACCAAAGTCTTACACAACCGCAACATGACTTCCAAACTCTTACATTCAATGCACTGACCACTAACGGCAACCAAAACTAAATGCCTTCTTCACTATCCTGTCTGCATCCTTGACTCCACTTTCAAGGAACTATGAACCTGCACTCCAAGGTGATTTTGTTCAGCAACACTCCCCAGGACCTTACCATTAATTATATAAATCCTGCCCTGATGTGCCTTTCCAAAATGCAGCACCTCACATTTATCTAAATTAAACTCCATCAGCCACTCCTTGGCCCATTGGCCCATCTGATCAAAATCCCATTGTACTCTGATGTAATCATCTTTGCTGTTCACTTCGCTATCTCTCGTATTCTTTCCAAGTCCTTTCTGTTTTTTACTGCAGACACATGGCAGTTGGCACAAAACTGTTCAGTGTCTGTCACTGGTTGGAGGGAGTGGCATCTAGGCAAATGGTGAGTGAGGATAGTTAATATCTTCCAAATTTTTTGTTACTTCTCTTACATGGAGGGAGAGAGAAAGGATGTTGCCTTTTTCAGAGTACTTTCCTGCCATTTTCTGTCTACCCTCTGGATCCTGGGCGTTTGGATATTTAGAGGTCCTGGTGCTTTCTTCTGAGCAGCTTAAAATCTGGACTCACTAAGAAATCAAAAGGAGTAAATGTCTGGCTTTATTTTAACCCCTCTATGCCCCAATTCTGCCAGCTAAGGGAGTTAGTCAGGGCCCCGGTCTTGTGGAATGTAATTCTTCAATCATTTTGAATGCAAATAGAAATGGTTGGTGAGCAGAGAAAAGATACAAATAACAATTTCACTGACATTTTGCTTGCTAACGGTTGAAGCAAGCATTATTCACGTTGCTCAAAAAGAAATGAACCACATGTTTATGGGCTCATTTGCTAAATTTTGGCATTAATGTCCTTTTTCAGTACTGTTAACTGTCTTGAATCATTTCTCTTTTTGTTTCCAGTCCAGGGCTGTTTGCCAGGGTCTGTTATTTAAACCATTCCATCCAAGTTGACCTTTGTGTCTCCAGCAGCAGGAGTGTGATGTTGATTTCCTCCCTATAATGATTTTCCAGTTGGTGTGTTAATAAAACTCCAACCTCTCTTCCTTCTTTGGGCTGTGATTTACAAAGTGGTAATGTTATAGGGCCTGGAATGAGACTGTTGACCATTATTGCTTCAATTTGAAGGAAGGAATGAGCTTCAACTTTTAATAAGTTGGAATATATCTCATTTCAATAGACATCTTCAAAGCTTGCTGCCTGTGACTTCCCCATTTTAAAAGTGTGCAAATTCAAGACATTGTGTTTAGGCACTTATATTTTCCAGCATTCATTCTGTGCAAAAGAAAAATCAAGCTCCAGATGTACAAACATACAAAAAAGACAGACAGGAAATAACCTACTGAATGATCTATCAGAGTGAACATTCTGAGGAACGGTCACCAGACCCAAAACATTAACTCTGATTTTTCTTCACAGATGCTGCCAGACCTGCTGAGCTTTTCCAGCAACTTCTGTTTTTGTTCCTGATTTACAGCATCAATAGTTCTTTCTTGGTTTTTACTGGTTGATCTAACCTGTTCTGTATAGTTATGATAAGTTTTGCTGCAAAATGTACACATTCTCCTCTCACCCTACCGTGCTCCTTTCAAAAAGTCGTCTTTGGGGAAAAAATATATAAGCAATCGATATTTATACAGAAGAGAATATTGGACATGATTTATGTTATTTACATGTTTTATGAGCTGATCTGCATTCCTCCAGGTAGAAATAGGTCCAGCACTTGCTTAAAGGAATGCAACAGCACAACATTGACTCCAATTATGAAGAACAGTCATATTGGACTTGAAACTTTAACTCTTTTTTTCCTCTCGACAGATGCTACCAAACCTATGAGTTTCTGCAGCATTCTCTGTGTTGTTTCAGATTTTCAGTATCCACAGAATTTTGTTTTTATTATAGCACCAACTTTAAGCTGTCACATTTTTCCATGAGATCACTATCCTCCGGGACAGGAGTAAGGCTGTCCATTGATTTTACAGCTATATGGTGCTATTCCCTTTGCAGCACATACCAACTTTGGCCGCATCAATGGGAAGCGCGAATGTTTTTAATTAATGTCAATTCAGAAGCATCAAGGCCGAGAATGGGAAAATAATTATCCCGAATATATCTTATAATTTAAGTACTGACTTCTTCATTTGCAAATATACTTTAAATTTGATTAATGTGCAACGAATTACAACTGAAACGTTGAACAGGGAAGTGCTAGATTTTATGGAGTCTGCAAAAGTGGGAGAAGGGTGAGTTCATAAAATCATAGAATCCCTACAGTGTTGAAACAAGCCCTTCGACCTAACCGGTTTGCAGCGACCCTCTGAAGAGCATCCCACCCAGACCCATCCCCCTACCTTCTTTCCATGTAACCTACCTAATCTACACATCCCTGAATACTATGGGCAACTTAGCCCGGCCAATCCACCTAACCCGAATGTCTTTGGACTGTGGGAGGAAACCGGAGCAAATGGCAGAAACCCACAGAGATGCGGGGAGAATGTGCAAACGCCATACAGAGTTGCCCGAGGTGGGAATCAACCCAGGCCCCTAAGCACTGTGAGGCAGCAGTGCTAACCACTGAGCCACCATGCTGTCCTGAGTTAACTTGGTGGGATGCAAAAAGTTGATTTCCTGACAACAAGAGATGAAATACAAAGATAAATCCAGCATCATGTTGTAGGGTCGAGCATTATACAGTCTGCCGTAGGTTCATACTTATGCATTGTGTATGTCGTGAATATTCTTCATGTGAAATAGTTTTTAATAAAGTCCTATCCAGAAGATAATGTCAGCAGTGTAGGAGAATCGCGTGGCACCCAATTCATGACCATGTAAAAGTGATCTGCACCAGCCGACTTTATGCAATTGTGTGTAAAGTCAGTGGTTTTCCTTGTTTAATTCCGAAGGACAGAGGAGGTGATCAAGAGAATTAAGTCTTTGTTGGAGGCTTGGGGTCAGCAAGGATAAATCAGTGGTGAGAAGAGATTCTGGAGTGGGTATAGAGGACTGACAGAAGGATCCAGAGAATGGCAGACAGTGCAGTCAAAGGCCTGAAAGAATGAGGTGAGAATGGCATAGCATTGTGGGTGTGGTGTGGGGGAGAGGGGCGTGCGACGTAGGAGTGGGGAATATCAGTGAAGGTTAGAAAATTAAATGCTTAAAAGGTGGAGGTCAAGCTGTCCACGTGTGTCCATGTAATGTTCCTTATAGGGATTTGAATTCACCTATGACATTTCAGTTATGCTAGCATTTAAAATGGACAGTACCATTTAAAATGCATATTTGGGAGGGTTAGCTGAGCCAGAAAGTTCAGCATTGTCCCATAGAGTGGCAAATACCACACCAGACACTATGAAAATTTAGTGTTCCTAAAAAGCACAACATTGTTTCATTTGAGGGGCATGGATAGGGTGAATAACCTAAGTCAATAAATGTGAAGCTGGAAAAGCACAGCGGGTCAGACAGCATCCGAGGAGCAGGGAAGTCAACGTTTCGAGCTGAAACCCTTCGTTAGGACTGGTCCTGATTAATTTAGGATATCTAGTTGGCATGGACGAGTTGGACCGAAGGGTCTGTTTCCAGGCTCTACAACTCTATGACTGTGACTCTATCTACAATAAAGCAAATGTCCTAACTTTCTTGTAAATATTAATATGTGCCAAATATGAGACATGCCAGTATGTCCAACACTCTGACTAAGCTGGTCTCAATAAATGAATGATGCACACATGAAATTAAACCAATGCAATGTGAAATATTTACAGGTAAATTTAATTTTGAAAGTCAACCACACCACTTTAAGCCTCTCAGGAGTAGGCCATTCAACCCTGCGTGCTTGCTCTGCCATTTGATAAGATTATTATCGATCTGATTGTGGCCTCAACTCCACTTTCCTGTCCACCTCCTAAAACAAGCTTGTCTCACAGGTGGCTCTCGGGTGGTTTAAATTTCTATCCAGCCTACAACCTGTGGTGTAAGTACATGTGGAAGATTTTAATTGCTCCTGCAATTAGGTCATTTCTCTCCCACCCTTGCTGCTGATAGACTCAGACTCAGGAAAAGCTTTTGAATAATTGTAGCTGGTAAACCTTTGGTTCCCCACATTTTAAGTAAAGTGTCTTTAAGATAGAAACACAGGTAAAATTGATCTTTGGGCATTCGTGGCCTAGTAACTTATTTAACTTCAATTTAATTTCATTTTCCCTTGGAGTTCCATGACTGACCAAAGCAAATATCATCTGCAAAGTGTTCTTGGAAGAGTGATAATAAACCTTTTTAGAATCATTGTTGAGTACATAGCAATTTTGTAATAAGCACAAGAATTAGTTTTATAGAATTTTAACAATACGTTGTTTTTTACAGAAAATATGGGATGTATAAAGTCAAAGAACTCCACTGAAGAGCCAAAGGAATTGAAGGAAAAACCAGTACGTAAATCTGAACCAACTATTTATGTGCGAGATCCCACATCCAATACACAAGTGCCAGTAAGTAGTGAAATGAAGGGAAATCCTCATGGCACAAAGCTGGATACATGCATGATATCTATTACAAAAGCATGTCCTGATTACAATTCTATGATCTAAAACTCCTGATTGTCAGATTTATTTTATTTACCAATCAATTTTTTATCACCAATAGCGGCCATTGTATTTTATTTTAAATAAATGTTGTGAACATCAAATTAAACAGTCATTTTACATCTTAAAATATTCCTCTCCTCAAAGCTCAATGCCCTCAGCTCAAATTTGTTTCCTTCTCTGTTTCCTTTCATTCCTTAATTTAAGTCCATCACATCCATAACACTTTGTTCCTTTGTCCCCTTGCTAACTGTTACTCAGAGATGATTCCCATCCTTGGATTTTGAAACTACCATTGTCCCTCCTTCTTATTAAGTAATCAATCTCAATCCATCTGCTTTTACAAATTAACTTCCACTACTGACGTCCATTCTTGTCTACCAAATAATTTTGATAAATTGTCATCTTATTCTGTTCATATGACTCCATGTTTAAAATGTTCCAATCTGGTTTCTATTTCTGCCTCAACAGTGATACTGCCTAAGCTCAGTTATAAATTACATCCCCGTGACCTTTCTGCAGCCTTTGGAATAATTGACTACATCATTCTCCTCCAGCATTTGGATTGGGGACCTTTTTTCTTTGTGGCTTGGCATCTCGTTTCCCTAAATAACTATAAAACAGAAGTAGGTTTTCAATCTCTTGAACTTGTTCTAAAATTTAGTTCAATCATGGTTGATCTATTCATTCAACTCTATTTAACTGCCTCGAATCCGTGTCCTTGAAGTCTCCATGAAACTGAAGTTCATTGCTCTTTGTCTTAAAGTGCTCCAGCATCCGCAGTCTTTTGCTGGGCAATTGTAGATTTCCACTATCCTTAATATAAAAATATCTTCCTGATTTTCCGACAGAAAGAAATAGTCTAATTTCAAGATTATGTTACTGTGTTTTTGATTTTTCAAACAGAAGAAATTGTTTCTCTATATTTACATCATCAAATCCTTTTTAACATTTTATTCACCTCAGTCAGATCACCCTTCAATCTTCCATAGTCAAGGAAATACAAGCCATATGTATACAACAAGGCCTGAACCTGCTAAGCCCCGTGTTATTTTATTGAATCTGTACTAGACTTTCTTCAAGGCTGAAATGTTCTTCCTGAGCTGCCTTGTCCAAAGTGAATTGCGTATTACATATGGGAAATGGCAAAGATAAAGTACAGCTGAATTACAACATGCAACATGGATAAAATGGTTAAGCCTGTGCATCTGCAGTTGTGCTCCCATATGTTTTAATGCTTCATTTTTAATGGTAACTAGGGCTTGTAGGGAGATTGTAACTTGCAATGTATTGAAATAAAGCTAATGAATATTTACTTTTTGAATCAATGTGATTCTGGATCAGGAGGATTGTTATGTAAATGAGGTTATGATGTATATTTTTGTATTTACATCATTGACTACTTAAATATGATTGTTTCAGAGTTCAAACCAGGATTCTCATCTATTACCTGGCCAGAAGTTTCAGAAATTTGAAGGTAAACTGACAAAGACCTTTGAATAATTACAAAAACACATTCATTCTGTTTTGATTTTGCACTCAAATTAACATCATGCCTTCTACATTTATGTGGCAGAGACTGATGGCAAAATAGTTATTGCTTTGTATCCTTATGATGGAAACCATATAGATGACTTGAACTTCAAAAAAGGAGAAAGGTTGAAAGTGCTTGAAGAGTAAGTACTTAATATTTCTCTATTTCACTCGCTAATTCATTAGCTACACATACACAGTTTAGGTTAGTTAGTCTTCAGTGAAGTTGTTTTGCTACTGCATTGTAGAAACATTAGAAAGTAAGCATGCAAGTGCAGCCGGCAATGAAGAAGGCAAATGGTATAACAAGGTGTAGAGCTGGATGAATACAGCAGGCCAAGCAGCATCAGAGGAGCAGGAAGGCTGACGTTTCGGGCCTAGACCGTTCTTCAGAAATGGGGGAGGGGAAGGGAGTTCTGAAATAAATAGGGAGAGAGGGGGAGGCAGATAGAAGGTGGATAGTGGAGAAGATAGGTGGAGAGGAGACAGACAGGTCAAAGAGGCGGGGATAGAGCCAGTAAAGGTGAGTGTAGGTGGGGAGTTAGGGAGGAGATAGGTCAGTCCAGGGAGGACGGACAGGTCAAGGGGGTGGGAAGAGGTGAGTAAGTAGGAGATGGAGGTGGGGCTTGAGATGGGATGAGGGAATAGGTGGGAGGAAGGAAAGGTTAGGGAGGCGGGGACAAGCTGGGCTGGTTTTGGGATGCGGTAGCGGGAGGGGAGATTTTGAAGCTTGTGAAGTCCACATTGATACCATTGGGCTGCAGGGTTCTCAAGCGGAATGTGAGGTGCTGTTCCTGCAACCTTCAGGTGGCATCGTTGTGGCACAGCAGGAGGCCCAGGATGGACATGTCGTCTGAGGAATGGGAGGGGGAGTTGAAATGGTTCGCGACTGGGAGGTGCAGTTGTTTAGTGTGAACCGAGCGTAGGTGTTCTGCGAAGCGGTCCCCAAGCCTCCGCTTGGTTTCCCCGATGTAGAGGAGGCCACAACGGGAACAGCGGATGCAGTATACCACATTAGCAGATGTGCAGGTGAACATCTGCTTGATGTGGAAAGTCTTCTTGGGGCCTGGGATGGGGGTGAGGCGGGAGGTGTAGGGGCAGCTGTAGCACTTCCTGCGGTTGCAGGGAAAAGTGCCGGGTGAGGTGGGGCTGGTGGGGAGTGTGGAGCGGACAAGGGAGTCCCGGAGAGAGCATGGGCCCAAGCTATGCCTGCCTCTTTGTAGGTTACGTGGAACAATCCGTCTTCCGTAGCTACACTGGCCCTAAACCCCACCTCTTCCTCCGTCACATTGATGACTGTATCGGCCGGAAAGCAGATAAGGGTGGGGAGGGAAAAATGTCTTTGGTGGTGGGGTCGGATTGCAGATGGCGGAAGTGTCGGAGGATGATGTGTTGGATCCGGAGGTTGGTGGGGTGGTACATGAGGATGAGGGGGATTCTGTTTTGGTTGTTATTGCGGGCAGTGGGTGTGAGGGATGAGTTGCGGGAAATGCGGGAGACACGGTCGAGGACGTTCTCGACCACTGAGGGGGGGGGAAGTTGCGGTCCTTGAAAAATGAGGACATCTGAGATGTACGAGAGTGGAATGCCTCATCCTGGGAAAAGATGCGGCGGAGGCGGAGGAATTGGGAATAGGGGATGGCATTTTTGCAGGAGGGTGGGTGGGAGGAGGTGTATTCTAGGTAGCTGTGGGAGTCGGTGGGCTTGAAATGGATATCAGTTTCCAGGTGGTTTTCAGAGATGGAAACAGAGGTCCAGGAAGGAGAGAGAGGTATTAGAGATGGTCCAGGTGAACTTAAGGTTGGGGTGGAAGGTGTTGGTGAAGTGGATGAACTGTTCGAGCTCCTTGTGGGAGAACAAGGTGGCGCCGATACAGTCATCAATGTAACGGAGGAAGAGGTGGGGTTTAGGGCCAGTGTAGCTACGGAAGAGGGATTGTTCCATGTAACCTACAAAGAGGCAGGCATAGCTTGGGACCATGTGGGTACCCATGGCCACGCCCTTTGTCTGTAGGAAGTGGGAGGAATTGAAAGAGAAGTTGTTGAGGGTGAGGATGAGTTTGGCTAAGCGGTGAGGGTGAGGACGAGATCGGCTAAGCATTTCCATCTCTGGCAACCACCTAGAAACTGATATCCATTTCAAGCCGACCGACTCCCACAGCTAGCTAGAATACATCTCCTCCCACCCACCCTCCTGCAAAAATGCCATCTCCTATTCCCAATTCCTTCGCCTCCGCCATATCTGCTCCCAGGATGAGGCATTCCGCTCCCATACATCTCAGATGTCCTCGTTTTTCAAGGGCCGCAACCTTGAGAATGCCCTCGACTGTGTCTCCCGCATTTCCCGCAACTCATCCCTAACACCCCATCCCCGCAATAACAACCAAAACAGAATCCCCCTCATCCTCACATACCACCCCACTAACCTCCGGATCCAACGCATCATCCTCCGACACTTCTGTCATCTGCAATCCGACCCCACCACCAAAGACATTTTTCCCTCCCCACCCTTATTTGCTTTCCGGAGGGACCACTCTCTCCGGGACTCCCTTGTCCGCTCCACACTCCCCTCCAGCCCCACCTCACCCAGCACTTTTCCCTGCAACCGCAGGAGGTGCTACACCTGCCCCTACACCTCCACCCTCACCCCCATCCCAGGCCCCAAGAAGACTTTCCACATCAAGCAGATGTTCACCTGCACATCTGCTATTGTGGTATACTGCATCCACTGTTCCTGTTGTGGCCTTCTCTACATCGGGGAAACCAAGCAGAGGCTTGGGGACCGCTTTGCAGAACACCTATGTTCGGTTCGCACTAAACAACTGCACCTCCCAGTCGCGAACCATTTCAACTCCTCCTCCCATTCCTCAGACGACATGTCCATCCTGGGCCTCCTGCTGTGCCACAACGATGCCACCCGAAGGTTGTAGGAACAGCACCTCATATTCCGCCTGGGAACCCTGCAGCCCAATGGTATCAATGTGGACTTCACAAGCTTCAAAATCTCCCCTCCCCCTACCGCATCCCAAAACCAGCCCAGCTTGTCCCCGCCTCCCTAACCTGTCCTTCCTCCTACCTATTCCCTCATCCCATCTCAAGCCCCACCCCCACCTCCTACCTTCTAACCTCTTCCAACCCCCTTGACCTGTCCGTCCTCCCTGGACTGACCTATCTCCTCCCTAACTCCCCACCTACACTCACATTTACTGGCTCCATCCCCGCCTCTTTGACCTGTCTGTCTCCTCTCCACCCATCTTCTCCTCTATCCATCTTCTATCAGCCTCCCCCTCTCTCCCTATTTATTTCAGAACTCCCTTCCCCTCCCCCATTTCTGAAGAAGGGTCTAGGCCCGAAACGTCAGCCTTCCTGCTCCTCTGATGCTGCTTGGCCTGCTGTGTTCATCCAGCTCTACACCTTGTTATCTCAAATTCTCCAGCATCTGCAGTTCCTACTATCTCTAAGGCAAATGGTATGTTGGCTTTCACAGTGAGAGGATGTGTTTACAGGAGCAAGGCTGCCTTGCTGCAATAGTACAGGACCTTGGTGAGAGCACAGCTGCACAATTTTTACCTCCTTATCTGAGGAAGGATGTTAGGCTAGTCCGAAATGATACAATGTCTCTTCATGTAATAGTCCTGCCATAGGATCATACAGTCAAACAACACTAGCAGACCCATCGGTCCAACTTGTCCATGCCGACCAAATTTCTCAACTAAATTAAGCCAATTTTCCTGCATTTGGCCCTTACCCCTCTAAACCTTTTCCTATTCATGTACCTGTCAAAATGTCTTCTAAATGTTATAACTGTACCTGCATCTACCACTTCCTCTAGCAGTTCATTCTGCATAAGAAAACCCTCTGTGTGAAAATGTTGCCCCTCAGGTCCCTTTCAAAATTTTCTCCTCTCACCTTAAAAATATGCCTTCTGGTTTAGAACTCCCCTACGGTAGGGAAAAGACCTTTTGCTATTCACCTTATCGGTGCCCTCATGATTTTATAAACTTCTATAAGGTTACCCCTCAACCTTCTACGCTTCAGTGAAAAAGCCCCAGTTATCCAGCATCTCTTTCTAACTCAAACCTTCCAGTCTTGGCAACATCTTGTAAATCTTTTCTGAACCCTCCCCAATTTAATAATATCCTTCCTATAACCGGGCAACTAGCACTATACACAGTACTTCAACAGTCCTACAGTAACATGGCATCCCAACTCCTATACTCAATGCTATAAGCAATGAAGACAAGTGTGCTAAACACCTTAACTCCCCTGTTCTACATGAGATGCCTCTTTCAAAGAACTATGTACCTGTACCCTTAGGTCTCTCTGTTTCAACACTACCATCTCAGGAATCAGTCTGTAAATCTTACTTATGTGCTCTCCATAGTCAGAATATCCTTCCTCAGATAAGGAGGCCAAAACTGCACAGAATATTTTAGGTGTAGTCTCACCAAGGCCCTCTACAATTGCAGCAAGGTAGCCCTGCTCCTATACACAAATCCTCTTGTGAACTTTCAGCAAATGGTGCACAATGACGCCCTGGTCTTGTTGCACATCCTCCTTTCCCAATCTATTACTATTCAGATAATAATCTGCCTGTCTGCTTTTGCTACCAACGTAGATAATCTCATATTTCCACATTATACTTCATCTGCCTTCTATTTGTCTCATTCAAATTGTCCAAATTGCACTGAAGTATTTCAGCATCCTCCTCCTCCTCACAATTCACCCTTCTACGCAGCTTTGTGTCATCTTCTATCACTAGGCAGGAGCAGTTGCGCATGTCCAATCAACATCCATTCCATTTGCTGACACACGTGTGATTTCTCCCACCACTAGTGTCTCGCAAGGGGTAGGAAGCAGGGACATGACAATGGCATCAACAGTGGGAGAAACCATGCATGCGTTGGTGGATGGCGTAGATATCAAAAGTAGTCCTGTTCATCTGCAAGAGTTGCAGTTTTAAACCATCTGTATTCTGCATACCGTCTATACAGTGACAATAGCATGGGTAAACTGTCATACAGTTGGTATGCTCTGTGTTTAATCAGGAAAAGTATGCCTCTTTTGTATGTATTGCATCATAAATAACTGGATTTTATAATTTACCATCATTCAACTTTTTACCTAGAGCAATCTCACCAGTA